TTTCTGGTTAGTGAACTCGTTCGAAAAGCGGCCTTCGTTATAATTCTAGAGCACAGAATAGAGTTTTTACCAACCAACGCCCGACACAATATCTGTGTTCTACAAAGGACCATCTGTGCGCTAAAATAAACCACACGAAAGAAAATGAAACCTGTAGATGTTCTACTCGCCAGTCCTGCAGAAGCATTATGACATCTATAGGCGTCACTCGTCGCGAACATGTTAAGTTATTCGTCACTTTCAGTATCACATCTGGGAAACGACGCATAAATCTTATCCCTGGATTTGAAGACGTTCGACTAAAATATTATTAAACGACAATAACAAGGCTACCTAATATCTAGTTAGGCACTCGTTGGTTGTACCCAGCGTTCTGGGCCCACCAAACCCTCCATCTCTCTGCGGTCGGAAAATTAGTGTGGGACTTGTCTGCGAAGATGGCAGCACTGGTTCGATTCATCAGTACGCAACCGTAAGTCACTGCACAGGACAGGTGTGCATCCAGCCACCTCTAACGATGCCGCGCGTAACGTTGAATTCATGGGGTATCGCTTTATCAAAGCAGCGCAGTCTTTAAATTTAACTTTCGTGAAGGATAAAGGATGGCACGCTTGGAGTTGATCAATTCCTTAGCGATAAGCTATGCATTGACACTCGTATTATCTTGAAAGCGACTGGATGTATTTTAGTCTATACAATAATCAGTTCAGTGCTTATTCTCGGGTCAATCTGGTCCCAATTTGCCAACCTCGAAGCGACGCAGAGCTGGATTTTCCCAAGGATAGCGATATAATCAAGGATATAATCATGCGTCACCTTTAGCTACTGCTCTCGATACTTCATTTTCAAAATTGATATCATCGAAAACGATTTGTGGTAATGAGATCGGGCCAATGAGCATGTTAGGAATTCTCTGATGCCATTCCGGTATAGATGAAGTCCCTTTTTTACCACATTTCTTTCTTTATCCCTCTCACTCACCTTCGCAGTAATTTCTACTACTTTTCACCTCTCCATTCTCTCTTTCGCACTGTGTTACATTGCTATTCGTAATGGGCTAACTGCACAACCGGATGCGGTCCTTTTTCTACAAGTGTCATCTGATTTTAAAGGAAAGGAAATTTCGACACAATCACGCGGTCTCAATGTTAAATGGGATTGCGCTGTTGCTGCTCTACAGTGTCTTCGAAACCGAAGCGGTAGGTGATCTCCACGCGGTCTTAACCGCCGCTACTATACCCGTTAATTAAGGCCATGTCACTTTATATTAAGATTTGATGAATTTGGAGGGAAAAATGGAAAATGCAGCAATAAGTAATAAGGAATGAAATCCTCATCGCCGATGAATTTCGTTGAGACGAAAGTCGTTCTTGTGAATTCGTTATGATTATGAAAAAGAGATTGTTCGGTAGCGCACAGTAGTAAGAATAAGAGCGAATAAATTAGGGTTTGGTCCATCGTAGACAAAGAGACCTTCAAGAACCCAAACTTGGGTCTAATGAACATATCTAAGTTCTGTAACGTTTCAAATCCAGTATACAATACATTACATACATACATTTACTGCCTGTTATTGTTTTTCTCGTGGCAGGGCATTATATGAATTAAAATCACATTGATGCTCAGTTATATGCAAAACTCAGACTCCAGTCTAGGTTCGAACCAGCGAGTAAAAAAAGTCGCTAGAAGGAAGGCAAAATGATGGCCTTAGTGGTACAATGGGTAACACTTGGTCCCCGAAAAAAGTTAACCGCAGGTTTGAACCAGCGCGAGGATCTGAGCATTGGAAGTACTTCAGCATCCACAATAATGCTGGGATATTTCCAGATTCATGACCGCAGGTGTCTACGTTGGGAATCGAACACGCTATTACGCTTTCCGGGACTAACACGTTCATCACCACAACATTCGGGTCCTTCGTTTCGCCCTCCTCTCAGCTAGTTCTATCGATCAGTGCCATCAGCAATCACCCGTCAATGGGATTGATATGGGGAGCCCAAATCGATAGTGAACGCAGTTAAACTGAGGCTGTAGTTGAAGTCGCAATGTGTACTTTTTATTTTCGGCCTACTACAATTTTTACGGCAGGTGCTCCCCAGATCAATCCCGTTGACGGGTGATTGCTGAAGGCGCTGGTAGATAGAAAACTAGTTGAGAGAAAGTTAAAGCAAAGAACCAACACGATGTTGTGGTGAGCGCATTAGCTCCCGGAAAGGATAAAGGCGTTTTTCATCACCACTTTACAAACCTTCGGGCCAGAATTTTGCAAATATCTCAGCATCATTGTGGTTCTATTTCAGATTCATTCCAAAGGTTCATTGAAAGCTAAAGAAGTTTGTAGAGTATTCATTGCAAGTTGGTCTTAGTCCTCGTATTCATAAGCGAAATAAAGTCGGTCAAACATCCAGTGAAACTGTTCTATGCGTTTAAAATGATAGTTTGAAGATTAATTGAAAACAGAATAATTCCTAATTTTCAGGGAAATCAAGATTGGTTGTTTCGGTGTCGATGGTGCTGGAAAAACCACAGTACTGAAGATAATCAAAGGAGGTTAGGTTTTGAAATAATCGCTTACATCACATTTGACGAAAGTTCGCTTTTGACATCTGAAATTGCAAAGCTGAAAATCGGTAAAGAAATTTAACTTTTGACAAAACAATGTATAATCTTGCAAGGAGAATACTATATTGTTAAAAAACACAAATAAAAAATAAAGGATAAAGCTTTCGGCGTTGATCAATCCCTGAGGGATGCGCCATGCATTCGACTTCGTTAAGTATCGTTGGAGGTGATTGAATGCATATTTGGCCTTTAGGGGCTCGCGGTAGCCTAGCGATGTATCGAGTCAGTGCTGCTATCCTCCCAGACAAGTCTGGTACCAATTTGCCGACCCTGGAGCGATGCAAGGCTTGCTGGGCCGTGGGCGCGGGGATCGATTCCACGTGTGTGTCACAGTGGCACCTCCAACCACTGCGCCACACGCCCCCTGAGCGCTAGAAAATACATTAAAACAATCAATATTTTAAAACGCTCATTTATTTCTGAACAGCCAAACGTTAGTAAAATGATTGTCTGCAATGTGCTTCGCAACTGCTTTGCATTCTTTCCTTCATTAAGAATGTCACCATTTGGGTTCCATGAAAATGTCTTTGATTGTTCGCATCCATACCTAAAGAAATCGGAGATGAAGTCAGCTTTGCTGCTCTGTCCTGTTTTTCCAGTCCTAATTCACTTGAAAGACAAATTCAGACTGGTTTCTCTTGAACGGAAGAGAACATTTGCATTAAAGGATACTAAACCATATCAGGGCGCGTGTGGCGCAGTGGTCGGAGCTGCCCTGCAACACACACGTGGAATCGATCCCCGCGCCCATGACCCGCCGGGCCTTCCATCCCTCTTGGGTCGGCAGATTAGTACCAGACTAGTCTGGGAGGGTGGCAGCACTGGCTCGATAGATCACCGCGAGTCTTTCTAAAGGCAAAATATGCATTCAACCACCTCCAACGATGCTTAGTGAGGTCGAATGCATGGAGCATCCCTCAGGGATTGATCAACGACGAGAGCTTAATCCTTAAGCTTAAACCACATCAGCAGATAACGAAAATCTCGTCTTTATTTAACAGAACTGTTAATGGGACCATACCCCTTGATCCTTAATGGGAATTCGTACTGATCAATAGTTTACCGCGTTCTTGAAAACTGAGACGAGGTTTTACTTCAACGTTTATTCTATCGCGGCAAACATCTTGGCAGATTCCTTAGTCTTCGAGAAGGTCGTGTAAACATGCTACCTACTTAGTGAAACCATAAATTCTGATTATGTTGACAAAAATTCCTGCAGCCAAGCTTCAATAACATTGTATGCAACTTTGTAAACACCGTTCATTCTGTCAACATTTTCGAACGCGGAACCTTCAAAATGGTTTTTCTCAAGCTCTTCCGACAGCCGTTTTCTTCTTCAAGATTCGTAGGTTTTATGCATGAGCATTAGGCAACTGGCATTATATCATTTGACACAATAGAGACGACAACGCTCTTGCTTCACATGGCTGAGAAAATCAGTAGAGCACACAAGAGTGTTAACGAGAAATCCATTTTTCTTAGGTGTCCTCGTCAGCACGTCAATCGATTTAGGGAAGAATTCCGCCCAGCTTGTCGTTTTCATATTAATTCCATTCTCAGTCAGCCGATCGGTAATAGTTGATTTGTAACTAAGCAGTGATCACGTTAAATAGACACTGTGGGGAAATCGTTTACGCTCAACGCTGTATGTTTACAAAAGTGTAGTTAATTGGTCATATCAATAGAAGATTCACATACATAACGATTATTTTCATGGACAGGAGTCCACCGGAATGGTTCCATTCCGGTTCCTTTCACCAATTCTGAACTTCCTTCTCATATATTCATCCTGGATTCGGTTTTATTATACCACTCAGATCACTGATAAAAATCTGTAGAAGATCTTTCTCATTGAGGATAGCTCGTCCAGGTAATTACACTACAGAATATAGCCTTAATTCGAGTGAATCGCCTGAATAACCTGTTGAATAACAGTAGATGACGTAGAATGTAGAGGAGGAAAATATCCAGGTTAGGTGTGAGTCGAATTGGTGTAAAGAATAATTGGTGGGTTCACAAGGAAGACGACACGCAGCCATTTCGTGTTAGGATCTGGATCCAATCACTCCTTGTTGAGCATAGTCAACTTTCCACTAGACACGAAATTTTTTTTAACTTCCGACGAAAAAACAAAAACTTGGTGCCTTCTGGTGGCTCTATAGCGTTGGTACACATTCGCTAACATTGGTGGATCATAGAAGCTGCTATAAGGTTTGATAAAATTCCTGTCCGAAAACAAGTTTGCAAACATGGAAGTGCTTATTAGTTTGAATTTTTAACTTTTTCTCTTGCTGCAACTGATCGATACTTATCTTTTGCTATGAATTGCAGAAGATCCACGCGGTGTGCTCTCTACCAACGGTTTTTCAATAATAGACATGGAGTACGATGATGACTTCCGCATTAAAGTGTACGATATTGGTGGACACGAACGAATTCGTGATATCTGGACGAATTATTTCGCCGAGGTGAAGCTTAGTAACTTCTAAACATATCCGTCTCAACCATTCATTAAGGTGCATGGAATAATATACGTTGTTGACATATCGAATGAGGAACGCCTTGAAGAGAATTATGACACAATTAGAAAGGTATTATTGAAAGTTACCCACAGAGTATTCAGATAACCTTCAAGCTTAGTTTCCTTCTTTCTGTTAATCTGTGATCTTCTACAGCTTCAACATCATCGAGGTACTGCCAGTAAACCATTTCTAGTTGTGCTGAATAAGCGAAAACCCACAGAACTCGACGATTTCGACTTTACTATCAGTGTGAGTGTACCAGTAGAACTTTGTTTATCGGTTTTCCAACATGGCCTGCAATCTTCGTCGGTAATTTCAACCTGATCTTCCTAGCGGGGAACGTGTTCGGTATTTCCATCAATAAGCTAGCTTAAAGTAGAATTGTGTAATAGCAGACAAGATGCTCATGGCTACCTTTTCGCCAAATACAGCCTTCGTACTTAAGGGCTTTTGTAACGTTTAAACGATGGAGTCCCACTAGACGACTCTGAAACGAGTCAGCTACGATTGAAGAATGAATCAGTGCCCTCTTGGGTTATCCGTTGATTAACGGGATTACAATTGATGCAACTGATCCTTGTCAACCAACTGCTACTTGACATAAAAATTACGATTGTGTTAAATTAGGAAGCTCTTATTGCTGAAGAAGGAATTTCATAACCACCGATGAAACAACAATGATGGAGCCTACGACGACATATACTAGAAGCAGTAGTCATAGAGAGCCTAAATGGCAAAGCAGATGCTCTTTATGGAGATTTTTCTGAAGTCCCAGTGATACAGGAGTCAAGGAAATGAAGCTAATTTACTGTACTGTTTGCTTATTGATATTCACAGGTAGTTTGCCTAGCTCTCCGCGTGGTTGTTAGGTGTATTAACGGACAGTTTGTTAGTCTCTTCCAGAGTATACACGGAACTCATCCCATGAAAGATACTCCTAGCCACCTTCTATCTACTTTCTAGTCAAATGATTGAAGGATTTTGGGCCGATTCACTTGTAGAGCAAAACCTGCATGTGTGCAAATACACCCACGCAAACATGCACGGATATCTCTACTCTAATAGGAAACGTATGCCTCAAATCAGCGCAGGATAAATAAGGACTCTCCTATATGGACTATAGGGATATGGATCTATGGACTATATGACTATATGGATCCATGTTCGTTTCAGGAAACAAAAGATCGCTTTTATTGCGCGTTTAACTTGCCGTCTGCTGTCAAGAGACCAGCCAAGCCGTGACTATGAGTGTGGGATCCATAAACGTCGTTTAATATCGAATGACTATGCTCACTGTGGAAACCTGGAATAACCGTGCAATGGCGTTCCCGGATCTTCACGATCAGCCCTTTTGGATCCCGGTGAGCTATTTCCAGATAAGCCTGGTACCACTTCTGGACTGCGGAGAGAACGGGAACCCTCCTGCTTGACCTATAGAGTGATCGAACCATAGACACATGTACTGCTGCACGATATCTCTAACCATTGCACTTCTCACACCCCTTCCAAGGACGTTAACAACTAGTAAATTAATAAAAACTGGAAAATTAAGCTCAGTCGACAGTGGTATGTATTACCCTAGCACATTTCTGATTTCCACCAATCATTACATTGTCATTTCCACTTTTTGTCCAGGCCGATCTCAACGCTGTTGGCATGGAACGTGGTCAGATGATATTCGTCACGCATGTGAACGAGTACAAGGGAGAGGTATAGTTTCGCTTATAATAAATACTGATTGATCGTTATCGACGACATTGATATCTTCTAATGTATAGTATTACATAGTGGAATAAACTAAACCAATACATGAGTGGTATAAGAATCAGATGTTTGTTTCTAAACAAATAAAAACGTATGAAGCTCTCAGCGTTGATCAATCCCTGAGAGATGCGCCATGCATTAGACTTCGTTAAGCATCGCTTGGAAGTGACTGAATGCACATCTGGCCTTTACAATGTCTTACGGTGCCCTACCGATGCATCGAGCCAGTCCAGAAATCGAGCTATCCTCCCAGACAAGTCTGGTAGCAATTTGCCGACTTCAGAGCGATGGAAGGCTTGGTGAGCCATGGCCGCGGGGATCGATTCCACGCGTGTGTTGCAGGGCGCCTCCGAGCACTGCATCATTTCCAAACAAATAATACAGGAAATTTTCCTATTATACTTGGAATACACTCTGTACGATTTCAGCTAGATAATGCTAAGCAGCCACCACCACCGGTATCAAAAAAGTCCCGACGTATTTCGAGCCCGTTATTGACGCAATTTTGCGTATTCGTTGATAAGGTACGTAAATATCGGTCGTTGAAAAAAATCAGAGTATCGATTATATTGATTCGAACTTATTATTCGGAATAATTTTCTAGTTAGGATTTCAATATGCCTAGGTGCATTCCTCTTTCATAATACTTAATTTAAGTATTCGGTGTATTAAGTAAAGTATTTTACAAATCGGTAAGGAGCAAACATAGTTACTGGGACACAAATAAAAAATACTACGACCGAAAACTCGTCCACCAAAAGCGTTGAGTTTCTCACTACACAATGAGTATGCTTGTGAGTTCAGCAGTACTGATACGAACCGCAGATGAGCTTTAACTGAGAAAAAGCTCCTCGCAATCTTCGACCGTGAAAGCATGACTGGGTTCGCAAGTGTATGGGGTGTAGGTGAGGAACTTCATCCCCATAATAAAATATTCACAAAAGAAAAACATCTACCCACTGTTTGTCGGCCATTGTGAAGAGAATGTGCTCTTGAACGATATGCAACTTAGGGCCGATTAAGTAAACGTCATTTGTAATTTGACTTGTCGCTAACGGTCAGTTGATCAGTTAGGTATTTTAACAGTTCCATCTGGAGGCTCGTGTAAGAATAGATCCAAGTCCAGAGTTGCCGCTGGTGTATTAGAAACTTGATCGCAAGTCGGCAGATCCCTTTCTGATCCATAAACCAAAGACATTTCCTGTAGTAGTGGAAACCTGAGAACCCTCTGGCATGACTGCCTTAGGACTCTACAGAATAGCTTAGGCAATTAACAAAAAACCAATTCAGTCTCTCATGAACTGACTTATTCCAATTACGAAATGCGAGCGAAAATCAATATCAAGAGCACGGGCATCTGTCACATGGTGGCTCCTTTCTTATATAGATTAAGTCGAACATTGTTGTTGAAAGGATCTATGGTGAAGTTTCATTTCAAATCGGGGTTCCTATCTAGAATGAAGGACGTTGCAGGTCCAAATCCCCAGCAAAAGCATGGCATAATTCCTTCATAATGGACACTTTCTTCTCAGAAACCTTTGTCATAGCGATTATTTAAGGGAAAAAAAGGGCATTCTCCATTGGGAGACTCCCAAGTCCAGCATTGAGGGTGGGGCTTCTGGAATCTTGGAGAAGGTCTCATTACTTTGATTGGTATGGATATTACGTGTATTATACCTTTTTATTTTCTGCCTACTGTAATTTCGCGGCAGTGTACTAAGCGAAATACAACCACAACGTTGCTGAGATATTTGCAAAACTCTGGACCGCAGGTGTCTATGGTGGGGAACGAACGCGCTATTGTGATTTCAACTACAGCCGCAGCTTAACTGGGTTCTATGCCGATTTGGGCGCCCCAGATCAATCCCGCTAACGGGTGATTGCTGTGGCAAAGATCGATAGAAATAGCTGAGAGACAGGCGAAACAAAGGACCCGCATGGTGTGGTGGTGAACGCGTTACTCCCCGGAAAGGACAATAGCGCGTTCGTTCCCCACCATAGACACCTGCGGTCCANTCCCCCACCATAGACACCTGCGGTCCAAAGTTTTGCAAATATCTCAGCAACGTTGTGGTTGTATTACGTGTATTGTTATTTTGTCAAAGAAAGATGAACGGCGAACCTACTGTAACTTTGGCCCTTAGTAAGATAACATGACCAATCACTAGATCTGAAATTTCCTTCTCAATAGTTTGTTTTTCAAATGTGCGGCTAATCGGAGTCTTTTGAAAAACAGCTTGTGCTAGTCAGAGGGCGTTACAACTCCGCGGTTCTATTCTATGGGCATAGATTTAGAGATTTAAGCACTATTAGTGGTAATTATCTATCCGAGGAATGACCCTTATGGATTCAGTGAAGCAAAGTGTGAGCTATAATTAGTATTTCGGTGGATACTGGCAACACGCCATGAGACTCTGATACCATTATTGAGGTCTGCATGGATTAATGTTCCATGAAAACTCGCATTTTATCCGTTATCATTGACTGCCCATCATTCAGTTGCTTCAAAAATCGGAACTTCATATAAATTCAAGGCTCACGCTGACAAATAGTTCAATGCATAACCAGCTTAACTACTATTTTAGATAATCGAGCACTACGTATTTTTGTCAGAAGGAGTTCAATCCGCTGAAATGGCATTAAAATTACGCCAGCAAGCGGAACGTGATGAACGGCGCATACGACTGATGCGTCAGGATCAGGAAAGGAGGAATAGCGATATCGCTGAACTAGACAGGCAAGTGAAAAGTCACTTAACTGAAGAGCAGTTTACGTCGAGCGTAGAAACGTTTCCTAAGAAAATCATGACATTAACTCTAATTGACTCACCCAATTAGCGATGCTAAAAAAGACCCGTGATGGGTTCACCAAGCGTTTCATTCCTCTAGGGTTGGGAAATTGGTGCCAGACTTGGTAGCAGCTCACTCTCAGCAGTCCAAGTGCAAAGACTTTAGTCCAACTATCTCAGGACTCCAGGGGAGGGGGTCTACTTGACTAGCATTAGACGATCTTCATGACGAAAGGAAAATCGTCAAGCAGAATTGAAACTACATGCCAAAAGTCCGCAGATCTTTGTGGGTGATTGTAGATGCCAGAAAGCGAGTCAAATGAAAGAAGTGCTGGAATCCGCGCAATAAATGTGAAAACGTTTCGTGTGAAAGATTTCATGAGATGTTGATGTTAATAGTATGAAAGAAACTGCGATGTCAAAAAGGTGCGATGAGTTATGAGGTTCTCGACTTGACAATTATTTTTATGATTTTCTCGTTCACTGAGAGTGAGTGGACGCTGTTGGAATGCTTGACAGTAGAGAGACAGATACCATAGCCCTTTGATTTCTAGTAATAACAGAAGAGCACATGTCAGTATATGTAGTTATCTACATGCACTGTCATATTTCGGAAATTTGGAAACAGCTAGCATCGGAACAAAAAAGCGCGTCCAACGAAATAGTTAAAGGGTGTCCCGCTATACACAATGAGTCGCTCCATAGTTCAATCCCATACTTCGGACTCAACAAATCTTCCATCCATGCGATGTTGGTGAATTGGTAGGAGTTTTGTCTGGGAAAATAAGAACACTGATGTGAAATATAACCACGATGTTAACTCATTATTTACTGCTTACTACAATTTTTCAAGGTGTGGTATTATTTGAAATATAATTGCAATAATACTGGGATATTTGCAAAACTCCGGACGCCAGGTGTCTGCGGTGGGGATTGAACATGCTATTACCTTTTCCGAGGCTAACACGTTCATCACCACAACTTTCCTACGCTTAATACTTGTCTAGCATAATTGTTAAAGGCACCCTGCGGTGCACAAGGTCGGAGGTTCTATCCTGTGCCACAGACTAACTAAGTTCCTATCCCTTCGCGGTCGGCAAATCGCCAGACCTGGGTGGATGGACAGAAAGCTGACCTAATAGATCGGGAGATTCCCATAAGTCAAACCAGAAACCAGATCAATCACCTCTACGATCCTTGATGGAGTCAAATGTATGGTGCATCTCTAAGAAACTGATCAACCCCGAACGTTTTACCACTCATAAATAATATGAGCGAATTAAATCTACCTCAGTTAAAAGCTTAGACGAGTTAGAAGTACATGAATATTCCTTGAGAACAAGTATGAGGAAAGCATCTCTGTTTGTTAAGATTCCCCAACATCTTCCAAAAGTTCCCGAATACTTGCACACATATACATTGTCTTATAGAAGACATGCTTCTTCTAATGGCGATGTACGACATGACACGACGATGGGACTTACTCAAGAAATGCTGCGAAACGAACAGAACCCTACAACGGTTGAGCCCGAACCGAAGGACAACACACAGAAATCTGATTCACCATCAGTGTCCGACACTCAGTCACCAGTAAGTGTATAAAAAGAGTTAGAATAAGTTATGGTTAGCATGCATTTCCAGCTTACATGCGCCAAGTATTTTGCTGTGCTAACTATAACTACTGAGTTAAATTCTGATACGTAGGCAGAACATTTTCAGGAGTCCGAAATTAGCATCAGATTTTATATTTGCACCTGAATTCACCTGTTAATGCTTTTTGGCCCTTAACCATGCCAAAGGGTACTGTGTCGAAACACAGTGCACACTAAAGGATTAATCCACGCTCAAAGGTGACCCAAACTGAGATGCTCGACATGATGGAAGAGAATATTTGCATACGACAAACGATTCTGCGACGCACATCTGTTGCCATAATCGTAGTGACAATTAGGGGAAAACCAGGGACGACTGAAACTCCAAAGGAAGACTTGTAATCAACATGTAATCGACGTTGCTGTCGCAAATATTTCACATCTCAGTGGGGAGAAGGTCCACGTCATGTGCAATGTGCCGAAATCTATCTCAGCCATGACTCTCCAGCTGTAGACAAGTCATCGAAGTCACTGTAGTCGAAGCTGTCGCAGAAGTGGAAAACCCAAGCTCACTTTAGTTGATCTGTAGGATCTCCTCCCCGCGCTACTGGTCGTTCTGCAGCAAATCCGAGTACAGCGCTCTGTGCTGGCTTAATTAGCGCCACAAAAAGACCTTGCAGAAATGTGGGTTCGATTTTAGCTGTGTCAACGATTATTGTCTACATGGTAGCTAGCACTAGCAAATTTCCAGATTATGTCGCAAGTACTCGCCGAAGAAGTGTTGGATGTGACATCTACGAAATTGGGGACTTGCGCGTTGTCAGCGAAGCATGAGCACTAGTGTTGCACAGACAATTTGTGCATGGTGCCTTTGTCCAGTATATGATTGGTATTGGTTCCAGTGACGGACGTATTGTTGCTAAACACGTACTCTTAACGGATAATAACAAAGGTTCAAGACTCCTTCATTTTCCTTTTCGTCTGCACTTCTTAATATGGCCACACCTTTTTGTACCTTTGGGGCTAAATAAAATTTTAAATCCTGGCTTCAAACCGTATTCCACTAACTGTTGAAAATTGCCAGAAAATAAAAAACAATTGTACTGAGGACCGCGTGGGAGTTGTGAATACGCATCTACGCGCAGGTCCAGCATTTTCTCCGTTTATTTAAAGAACAATGAGAGCATAGCTCTTTCAAAATCTCTGGTGAAATTCAATAGAAACGCAACTCTCGCATCATACAACTTAGTTCAATATAATCATTCCTTTTACTGGAGTGACAGATTATATGCTCTCACCTGTCAGCTGTTGTACCGTTGATTGTCTAGTGACTCAAGCTGACGCCTGGATGCCTTCCATTTTTTCTTGTCGTGTGCAAGAGTAACCCAGAGCATTCTGATCGCTCTGACGACTTTTTGAGCATCATACCTTCCTTCTAGGGTTTGCGTGAAGAACTCTGACCAAAGGGTCGGTAGTCTTTCCACTGTGTATTTAACATCCCGTAGAATCCACTCGCTTTAGGAGTGTCCATCGGTTGTCGTTCATATGCATTATGTGTCCAGCTTATCTTATTTTCGAAAGTTTGGCGAATAGAACGGCGCCTTAGATTACTGGTAGCTGAAGTAGCTCGGAGCTTCGAATCCTCTCCTTAACTTGCGCGACAGAGGATGCTCCTAGTATCATCTTCTCAACTCTGCCTTGTTAAGTGATCTTTCATTTACTTACTTATCGACCAGTTTCCTGGAACACAAGTTAAGCTACAAGGAATGATGGAATCTAAAAGGTGGGCATGGAGTAGAATGTTCTTTGTTCTTTTCACTACATCCGCAATGCTTTGAAAGCTCTCCAAGCTGCTCGTTTCCTTCTGCTCAGCTCTGGAGCTAGCTCGTTCATCATTTTGATTTCCCGACCTAGACAGATTTAACTGGAGCATTCGGAGATAGTCGTTCCGTTGAGCGTGAATGGGGCATGTGAAACCAATCCGTTCTTCATGAACATCGTTTTTGCGAGATTTAGTCGAAGACCTTTTTCCACAGGCCTTATCAAAGTCGTTAAGCATACGTTCCGCTTGGCTAATGTTTGGTGTTATAAGGACGATGTCATTAGCAAAGCGAAGATGGTGTAACTGCCGACCATCGATTTTCACTCCCATATTATCCCATTCCAAGGTTTGTACTCTCGCGATACTTCAATGAGCCGTGTTACCGTGTGGATGTGGTGCATCGTACTAAATCCTTTTCGAAACCCTGCTTGCTCACATAGCTGTCCTTCGTCTAGTGTTCTGTCAGTCCTGTTAAGAATGACTCGAGTGAAAAGTTTGTAGACGAAAAAAGGCAAGCAGGTTGGGCGATAGTTGTCGTTATCATGGAGATCATCTTTCATGAAGAAGAACACAGTTTTGCTGGTCTTCCACTGAATAGGGACCTTGCATTCAGAGAGGTAACTTATGAGGAGCGGAGCCACTTTGTTTATGAGGATTGGCGGACGGTTCTCCAGGTGTTCACCGCTCGTCTTGCCCAGGCAACGTGTTATTCGATTCCTCACCGACTAAATACCACGTCGACATCGGAAGGGACAACCAGTGAGGAGACGATATATCCACGTTTCCTTTTTTCACAAGAGGGCAGGAAGACGTGGCTACTGAAAAGTCCGAGTAGCAATCGTGAATAATTTTCTCCATTGCCTTTCTGGAATATGTAATTGCTCCGTCCGGGTTTTGGAATATCGCTCTGTGGACATGGCAGCTTCTATTTGCCGCGAGAAGTGGAATCTCGCGCGAATGAGGCGATAGCCTGATCTCTTGTAGAATTTTGGGACAACAGTGACATCGGTTAGGCAAAATCTTCGATTTGCTATGACGTGGTCTATTTCGTGGTCAACGACAAAGATCGTTAAAGCCGGTGTTGATCCACATCTCTTTAATCGTAAACGTCCAATCGGCTTGTTAGTTGTTCGAATGAATCGATATCCATGGCAAAACTCGTGTTCACAAGTACGCCATCGCCGCCTACTCCTATACTGTTGTACGTTCCGAGGAACAATTCCTTTCCGGTGTCCTTCTCGTCTCAGCCAGTGCGATAAAAATGTATGACCTCTTGGCTGCATGATAGGTCCTATTCTATCAGATTTAGGTTAGCGTGCATTGTAGGCACATATCTCCACTTTAGTCCTTCAATATTTTGGCGGTCTAAAATGGCTCTGAGATTTTAGCAACCTGTCCGTATTCATCTTACCAAACACTGGCATTTTAGGGACTCTTTCGGGTTCAGGATAGTTAGGACCACTTATATTGTTGTGTCTAGCATTTCATATAATGTAGAGTTTGCTGAGCGCTGAACGTACGATGTGGATATGTTCGCGACTAGCTTGCCAGTTTTTACTAGAGCAAACGAGGATTTACTTACTGGAGGCGACTCCTAACCGCCTCCTATATACTTTCCAGGCACTTGGACCTGTTCAGTGAACATATGATGCTCAAACTGTGAAATCTGACCAATCCTTGGTGGATTTCTTCTCTAGTGGTAAGAACATAGTCAAAAAGTAGCAATGAGCATAGTTCTTGTATATCACAACATTGTGAAAACAAAACAGAAATTGATTGTCAGTTGCAATGTATTTCTTTCACCTATGATGTTACCACATTATCACGTTAATAAAAGCACAAGTCGTTTTTGAGTACACCTTATTGCGAATGAACTAATCAGTGCACAAATACCGAATGTTCGCCGGTTTACTTACCCAGGTGTGAGGTGAAGATGTTCTCCCCTGCACTTTTATTTAGTATTATTTCTACAGCTTCGATTTTCTAGGTGGCCGATTCACCTTGCCAACAGCTGTGGAACACCTCCGAGGTTTCTCATACACCAATTGCTCCACTCGCGCAGAACCCCCTACCACCACTACGGCCGAATCGTACAAAAGTGACTCCTGCAAATGGTAAGATCATTTTCTATCGATCTTATCAACTGTATCGTCTGCGTTAACCATATGATTTGGGAATGTACAGCAATCTAAACTTCCCACACTCTACACACTACAACGAGAAATTATGATGGAACTGGCATTTGAATAGAATCAACCCTAGGACGCCATCACCAGTAGTCTACATCTTGCTCATTGCTCGAAAGCGTAGTAACGAATGGCAAAGTAGTTCCAGTAGTCAGAACGCACCACTATTGCTTATCAGTGGACATGTTGACCCATCAGATATCTTGAAAATAAGGCAGATGTTGGCGTTCAGAAAGCATAACTGAACAAGACCACCTTCTACATAGTATTGGTTAATAGGAATGCATTCGTAAAGATCTCTTCCTTAATACAACAGTTTAGACACTTCCCAAACAGTGCCGACTTTACTTGACGAAAGCATTTTTGTGATAGAACGACCTCCGTCACTCTCATCTTCAGAACTAGCAGGTGAGCAGCTGGTGCTTTAAACCACCAGACATTTTTCTTGACACTTAAAGTCCGATGCAGATGATTTCTACTTATCCATGGGGAAGGGGTAAAACTGGCGAGCACGAATCGGTACCAGCTCATTCTCCCTTCACTTGTTCTTGCCATAAAGGTTTTTTGCGGCACTTTCCGTACCTGGTCGATAACCTGCAGAGCCTACTGCGCTAAGCGTTGGACCAGAAAAGCTGTCCACTACGATTAATAACATACAAAAAAAAGTCGCCGGACGACTTTATTCGTGAAGCCACTCCGTTAGATTCATTACCGAGGGTACGAAAACTTAGCATGCCAGATGAAGAGTTACCAGCATACCTCCGCCATCTACCGGCACCTCTGTGCAGCCACAGAGTAGCCCCAAAATAGTTGTTAGGAGGACCAATTGGAAACTAGAAAGTCAGGCCTACAATCACGAGTTGACTTCAATTCATAGCGAGTGCAGGGAAAAAGTAGTAGATTAGACTGAGCAAACGGAAGTACGAACCCAACTCTGTTTTAATCATGTATTTTAAATGAAAGCGTCATAAATACTTAACGTCAGGTCGACAGAAGCACATAAAACGGATGCGGCGCATACAAGAAGGCTTGCGAAGAAAAGCCGAATCAATCCAATTACAACGGTTATGACTGAACTTCACTCTTATGCGGGTAAAAAAATTATTTTGGATAAAGAATTTCGATCAGACCTCTAAACACGAAACACCACTCGACTATAATAGAAAAAACCGATAACAATTTTATTCGTAACAAACAAAAAACGAAGATTTTAGTCAAAGAGTCCAAAGCCCATGTCATCATCAGACTCCTCCTTAGGTTCTTCCTTCTTCTTGCTCTCAGCAGCTGGTGCGCTCTCAGCCGCAGCAGCAGGTGCAGCAGCAGAAGCGGTAGGTGCCGCAGGTGCAGCAGATCCAGCACCGGACGCCACGGATGAGATGAGGTTCTAGAATAACCACGATGGTTATAACACTCTACAGCGCGAACACATGAGATTCTTCACTGAAACCCATCTCGCATAGTCTGATGTAAACACTAGGACTGCAAAAGTCATACTAATTCGCTTTCCCTACATGCACTTTCAACAAATTTGATATTTGTACAAAGTAAGATAAACTTCATATCACCGCAAGGGGAACGCTCCACTCACCTTCACGTCTACTCCTTGAACAGCTTTTGCGAAAAGCCCTGGCCAAAAAGGCTCAAAGTCGACATTAGCGGCCTTCAGTAGCGTAGCGATCTTATCACCAGTAATAGCGACCTCGTCATCTTGAAGAATGAGAGCAGCGTAAACGCAAGCCATTTCCTGATTTAAAGCCATCTCGAGTGCAAGTTGCGAAATGCCTTAGCTCCGAAGAGGACAAGCGCTCAAGGGCTAAAACCGGATGATTTTAAACCAAACAACTATCGTTAGTCATAAGAACCATGTGTTACACATTTACAAGAGATGACATAAAAAAATATTCACATTGTATACTACAATTCATTAAACAGCTATTGAATAACACAAATCTTCAAAATTACTTTGTTCAAAAAGTACAAAATCAACAAATGGCAGTCTACGCCACCAAAATACAAGCGCCTCCAGCTTCTTTGATCTTGTTTTCAGCTTCATGTGAAAAATACTTTGCCTTCACAATGAGGGGCTGCTTCGGTAGTAGTCCTTTTCCAAGAACCTAGAAAAAACCACTGAAGAATGAAGCAGAATGCGACATAATACACTATATTTTAGAATGTGTTAAATAACGCGAAATTGCACAATGATAATATTGGAAATTCAAGAAAAAGATTGCTGATAGAGAGAGAAACATGTGGTCCACTAACCTTGTATACCAAAATGCACTAAAACTATGAAAAATTCCTGAAAATTTGTGCAAAACACATATATAGGATAAAGCTCTCGGCGTAGATCAATCCCTGAGGGATGCGCCATGCATTCGACTTCATTAAGCATTGTTGGAGGTGATTGAATGCACATCTGGCCTTAACAAGCATTCCCGGTAGCCTACCGATGTATCAAGCCAGTGCTGCTACCCTTCCAGACAAGTCTGCTACTAATTTGCCGATCCCGAAGGGATGGAAGGTTTAGTGGGCCTTGGGCACAGGGATCGACCCCATACGTACTGCAAAACACCTCCCACTACTGCGCTACATGTCCTTTTAGTCAATTAGCAAGATCTATATAGTCGTGATTTAATACATTTGCAAGTTCTCCGTCAATCATTATTGACATAATGTTCTCTACAAATCCGTTCAGCAAGATAGTAGGCAGTGTCACTCATCTTTTCAAATCCATGTTTCATTAAAATTCCATGCAAATATCTTGTTCTATTCCCCCTGACCATATCAACGTGGTTACAAAAGTTTAACGTCTCCAACGTTCGACAGAAACTGCAAAGGACGAATGCCCGGCTCAGGATAACTGACTGGAACCACTGCGGCACTGAAGGGGAAAACACCGACAACGTTAGCAACAATGAAGTTTTGTAACAACACTGTGTAAGCTTAGGAATAGAACAAGGTGTGCGAACTGTCTCGAGCCCAGAGGATGATACTACTCGACAGTGAACAGAATAGCACCGAAGCTGACCCGAATATCCAAAGGACATTATGTACCTTCCACTACATACACTTCTATCATTCAATAGATAGAAGCGCCAAGAAGGAAGGACAACAATTGCTGGGACTATAAAAGCCACCTTACCTTGAAATAACCAGCCTTAACACAATCAATAACCGGAGCCTTAGTAGGTGTGGCTTGCTCCTTGATTTTTTTGGGAACTAACGACCATAACCGATCAACGTTCACAGTTGGACAATAGTAGTGGTTCTTATTCAAGTGGAATACTCGCATACCAACCTAAACATAAAGTGTAAAAATAACTAAGTCTATCAATACATATAGAACTAAACTAGCAGTAGTTTGAGTTTTTTCTTTTTTCCTAAAAAGAAGTTCAATATGGAACGAACCTTTCCGAAAAGACCAGGATGGAACTTATCACGATTGATTTGGTGATGGTGCTCACCACCTGCATTACCACGTCCACCGGGATGCTTCCGGTGTTTTCCTACACGGCCATGTCCATGAGATACATGACCCCTAAGCTTTCGAGTCTTTCTCTTGGCGTGGGCCATACCTACAACTGTGTGAATGTCGTCTTAAGAGAACACCAGTGTTATGAATCAGAACACACGAACATCTCAACTCGACAACAACTACGAGCAACGACATCACTTGGCTAACATCATTGTGGATAGAATCCTTACCTTGGCTTTAATCACAGGGAACTAATAAATAATAACTGCAAGAATAATTGAGGGGACGAAGGCGTGGCCTTCAATGGTTGGCACTCGAAAGCTGGTTTTAGGCCACTTATCTCAACCACTAACCAGGCATAACACACAAAAGGATTAACTCGTAAGCAAGGATTAAAACTAGACGACCAACGACTTAGAAGATCAGGTCACTTAAGATATCTTGGAGAAGTCCCAATATCCCACCTAACCGAAAAAGCGTAGAGAAATGTAAACTCCCTAGCAGCCCACGTACCGTGTCCACCAGTAGTGAAGCACGTCGAACTAACTGCTTGGCAACCCATCGCTGTTTCGTCCTTTAAAGTTTTTTTTGCGATTGGTCCACATTATTTTCTAAATCTCTCAATAGTAAAAATAATCGTTTCGTTCCCCTTTTTTCTTTCTTTCCCTTTTCTTTTTCCCTTTCCTTCTACGCTTTGGTTATTACTTCTATTGTCAGAATCTATCGTTATGTGATCTTCCGATGCTTTTCTGTTCTGAATGTGGGTGCGGGCTATCCGAACTTTCCAGGAGACTTATCACTTACGTTACCAGATATTTGTAAGCTCACAGTAGCCCTGCACTGTAGACAGAAACATTGACGTCACCATCTTTTATGCGCTGGTATTCCTAGTTCCAACTAGAACGATTTTTAAACGACAAGATGGGACAGGCCCAATACATTTAATGCGTTTTATGATGATATCGGCTAAGTGGGCTAAATTAAAGTTCTGTTTGTAAAGTTTAAAACGGAAGGCTAATAGTAGAGGTAAAATAAGGCCACGGTAAAAAGTAAAGCTTAAATGGTTAAGGTTTAAAGTGTAGGTTAAAGTTCTTCATGTAGTCGTGAACTTTTAGGTCTCAAAAATTGATGACAAAAATTGACATGGGCCATCAAATCTTTTAACGGAAGGATCCATCGTTAGTGTCACATCTCAACTCCTTATTTTTTCATATTTCGATTGTTTTTCTGTTGTTCTTCCAGTTTTAGTGGGTTTGGATTATATTTCAGTCGACTTAACTTAAACTTTGTAGTCATTTGTATTTCTGTTGATATCGTACCCTTTCTAACTCATATTTTCCAATCAGTAGCATATTTTCTGGTCCATGGATTTCAAGATTTCAGACTTTCATGGCAGCAGCTGCACAAAAAATCCTTGGTAGGCTTGGTTCACTTGGTGTCGGTCTTGCTATAGCTGGTGGAGTTGCCCAGTCGGCGCTGTATAATGGTGAGATTCTGGGGTCTATTCATCTTCTTGAAATCCTGAAAGGTCGAAAGAAGTATTCAAAAGCTTTTTCTAACGTGATTGCAAAGTTAACATTCTTCTGTAGGTGTGTAGTGGTTGAAAATGAACAAAAGCTCAACACTGCGAGTTCTTGAAGCGTGAAGGATAAAATGATAAAGCTCTCACCATTGATCAATCGCAGAGGCTGCGCCGTGCATTCGACCACATCGCTGGAGGTGACTGAATGCATATCTGGCCTTTACAATGACTCGCGGTGGCCTACCGATGTGTCGAGCCGGTAGTGCTTTCCTCTCAGACAAGTTTGGTACCAGTTTGGCGACTCCGTAGAGATGGAGGGTTTGGTGAGTCTAGTGTGCAGGGGTCGACCCTACGTGTCTTGCAGGGAGCCTCCGACCACTGCGCTACGTGCACCTTTTTGAACCATATCACAGAATGTGCACATACCGAATAATTCACTTTCCTCTTGATGAACAAACACGAGGTTGTTGACTTACTCTTTATTTGTAAATCAGCTGGGTTTTCGGCGGATTGCACTTTTCTCAGAGCCTGGAAAGGTCAAGTTAGGTGCAATCTATCCAGCCAAACTCCTTCGTAACCAAGCATAGAGAATACTAAACCAAGATATCAATCACTTTGAACACAAAGTATCTTCCTTGCACGCTCATCGCTCCCTATAAGTTTTGTCAATTGTTTAAGCAAACGACATTTGTTACAAAGCCCAAGCTAAACAATTTCACGACATTTTTCTTTACTCCCCAGAAGCGACGAAGTAGTACTACATCCTTGTTCCTTTTTTAAAGAAGCGCTTCATCTTTTACGTCGTGAGATTGGTGAAGTGTCTTGAAATTGAATGCTGAGTAGTCGAATGCAATGTTTAATAGCTGGCGCAGAGGTCGGGGGTGCCATGCACTACACATGGGATCGATCCCGCACTCCAGACCCACCAAGCCCCTCATCCTTTCGGAGTCGGCAAATTGGTACCGGCCTCGTCTGGGAGGATAACAACACTGGTTCGATATATCGCTAGTCCACCGTGAATCATTGTAAAGGCTAGATATGCGTTTAATCACTTCCAACGATGCTTACTGGAGACGAATGCATGACGCTTCCCTCAGGTATTGGTCAACGCCGAGAGCTTTACCTTTTTTCTTAACACGACTATAAAGTTAACGTTCTCACACAAGTGTGGAATGGTTTGAAAGTGATTAGAAGTTTAAAACTTTGAAGTTCTTGAACCATTTCACAGATTATACTTTTGCCATTCTCGTTTCAATTTCTAGTCGATGGCGGTCAACGGGCTGTGATTTTCGATCGGTTTGCGGGTGTAAAAGACGTCGTTGTTAGTGAAGGAACCCACTTCCTTGTTCCTTGGGTCCAAAAGCCCATTTTATTCGATATTCGCTCAACTCCTAGGGCGATTTCAACTATTACGGGAAGTAAAGGTAAAAATCAAGCATTTGTGTTTTGTGTTTTCACACTGGCTCAGTGCTCAGTCCTTCTGGACGGCACATAGCAAAAAAAAAACAGTTGATTTTTTCAGACCTCCAGAACGTGTCTATTACTCTGCGTATACTTCATCGACCAGATCCGACAAAACTTCCTAATATTTACCTTAATATTGGTCTGGATTATGCAGAAAGAGTACTGCCATCCATTACTAACGAAGTTTTGAAGGCAGTTGTGGTAAGATTTCTAAAGTCTTATGGAGGTTTTGTTTAATTAACAGTTCATTAGTGCCATTGCAATAGGCTTTTACACACGCTTTGCACTCTCACTTATACCTTGAAGCCAGTTTGAAGTTTCCGACAGTTGCAGTTGTATAAATATTTTATGGAAATTGGAATAGTAGGCACTATAATATAGCTTCCATGCAGCGTCATTGACAGGCAGGAAACATTTCGATTTGAAAGTGACTATAGGTATCTTAGTACGGCGTCACTTGACCCAGTTCAGCCATATTTTTGTTTTTGTTGTAAGATGTAACCAGTGCTTATTTAACTTTTGCGAAGTTTGTAGGAGTTTATTACATGCGCTACTGTATTCATATATTTCCCATATATTACTTGGATAGCCCGTTTTCACTGGTTGTGCTGGCCCCAGCACAATTTCCATTTTTGGGAGTTCTGCTGGTTTAGCTATTGTGGTTCCATGGAGTCACGAGGTCAGCCTGGCTTTATTCTGCCCCAGGTTGTCACCACCATAGGCAGTCGCCGCGTTTGTGGATCAGTGGAGATTCGCCATCATGTGACTAGTTTGATATCAGGAAGAGGGTGGATGCTGGTGTTGGTTTACTCTTGTCTGGGGCTTTCTGATGGAAACGCGGGTTCTCGCTCGGCATGGGAGGCCGTGCTGGGTGGATGATTCCCCCCGCTGTACATCACAACCCAACACTCAGGAACACATCCCAGCCACGATGAGGCAGTAAACCGTTGGGAGGTTTTCCATACATAATGGGTCTTTAATTGTCGAGCGACTATTTGGAAAGGTGTGAATTGAATAAATCTCTCGAAAAGAATTTGAATTTGCAAAACGTCTCTTTAGGCCCAATTTGATGCACACGAAATGATCACGCAACGTGAGACAGTTTCACAACGTGTTTCATTGGCTTTATCTCAGAGAGCCGCACAATTCGGACTTCTTCTAGACGACATTTCTATCGTATGGTTTGCTTACAAATGGGAATATTGGGTACCATAACTGCACTGTATGTCGTCAGGTTCTATACTTTTTCAGACTCACTTATCATTTGGACGTGAGTTTACAGAAGCCGTTGAGATGAAGCAGGTAGCACAACAAGAAGCAGAAAAAGCTCGTTATCTTGTCGAGAAGGCGGAACAGATGAAGATCGCTGCCATCACAACAGCAGAAGGCGACGCACAGGCCGCTAAACTACTGAGCAAAGTATTTTTCGATAGCTTTTTTCTAAATTTACTAGCTTATCTTACAACGATCAAGGAAGGACTTGGACACGCATGCTTTAGGCCTTTGCCGACGCTGGAGATGCTTTAGTAGAGTTGCGGAAAATTGAAGCTGCTGAAGAGATTGCCGAACGAATGTCCAAGTCTAAAAATGTCACTTATCTTCCTGGGAATCAGAATGTATTGCTGAATTTGCCACATTAGGGTTGTCGATTTGTTTCTGTAAAGGTGGCGGTCATTATGTGACGGATAGATTGTTATTACGTCTTTGATCTTTCTTACTTTCTGTATTCGTTCTTGCAGAGTTTCTTCGTCCTTGTTTTACGTCTCATTCATACCATTTTTCCCCATGTTGCATACATTCTTATAGAAGCTTCGGAATAGATGTTATCGTCTATAGGTTTTTACAGTTGTTAGAATAAATTCTGTTATAGGATTTGAAGAGGTTTTTTTGCCCGTTGGGAAGTTCCCATTTTGTTCATTATCGCGTAGAGAAATAACTAATAATTGGCTAGGTATCCCTGTTTCTAGGTCTAAAGTAGGATAATTATGTCTAAAAAGTCCTAAGATTACGTTTTTATCAAGCGGGTCCTAGGATGGAAAACAGTTGTAGTTCAAAATATTTTACTGTTGAGATTGAAATCAGTTAACTAATAGGATGGATGGGTACTTATTATCATTCATGTTTGCCCTCAGTATTTCTTATGCCCAAAGATCCGTAATGTTATCCCTTATCCAAACATTTTTATGGTACCCGTGGTTTTTTGATCTGCAACTGGTAGTGTTTTCACATGTGCTGTTCACGCGGTTTTGTTTTTTGTTACCCAGGGAAAATGACAACTATTCGTTGTCGGTTCTATGAGAATCACTTTCCTGACGTCGAGGAGACTGTGGTGGTGAACGTGCGACAAATAGCCGACATGGGTGCTTATGTGAGCCTTTCTGAATACAACGGGAAAGGTAGTTTCCACTCTTTTCTCCGTTTTCTTCCCTTCAGCAGAAGAAAAATTCGATTCACGGATGACTGGGATTTTTGAAATTGTCTTAAAGGAAAGCGTCAATCCACTGTTTCTCTTTTTTCTTCTTTTTTTTAAAGGTCTTCTACAATTTAGAGGTAATAGGTAAATTTACAGAGGGTATGATACTGTTGTCAGAATTATCTCGCCGACGTATCCGGTCGGTGAACAAGTTGATACGAGTAGGACGTAGTGAGTGCGTTGTCGTTATTAGAGTTGACAAAGATAAAGGTGAGTGAACTTTGCTAATCAAGATCTGTAGATCTAAGTGAAAGGACACCTTAACATTGTAGGATATATCGATCTATCAAAACGGCGAGTGTATTCGAAAGACCTAATTCTTTGCGAGGAGCGATTTGCCAAAGCGAAGGCAATCAACAGGTGTGTTAATACTTCGCTACTGATTCAATGAGTATGGTTGCATGTAGCACAATGGTCGGAGATAGCCTGCATTACACATGGGATCGATCCCCGCGCCCAAGACTCATCAAGGCTTCCATCCCTCCGAGGTTGCCAAATTGGTGCCAGATTTGTCTGGGAATATTGGAGCATTGGCTCGATGAATCGGTTGGCCACTATGAGTCATCGTATAGGCCAGATACCCATTCAATCACCTCCAAACGATGCTTGATGAAGTCGAATGCGTGGCGCATTTCTCAGCGACTGATCAGCGCCGAGAGCGTTATTTCATCCTTTAGTTCAATGGGTCACCAATATAATAAGTGCTACACCCTGTTATTTTTCCTTTTTGCAAAGTGGTCTTAAATGAGGTTCTTGAAGTTCATCTTCAATAATTGTGTTCCATTATTCATTTTCAGCATTTTACGACATGTTGCTGAACAACTTGGCTATGACAAAGACGAACAGCTGGAGGTCACTCATTTCCTTATCTCAATTTCCTTTCCTCCTATTAAAGCAGAAGTGTTCCTATTTTTACACGCCATCTGATTTATCAGCAATTTTATGACAGCAGTCATTTTCAAGGATCTATACATGAGAACAGCTTGGTATTTTGACAGAAGAGAGAAGAAGAAAGCAGCTGCTTATGATGTTTTCAAAAGGGCTATTTCGTAAGTTTTTTTAGTTTCTTGAGACTTCGACTATGTCAGTTGGGTGAGTGTTCCAATTTTAGTTACCTAGTAAATCTCTTTATTAAAAATTTCCTATATCTCTACTTTTCTATTTTAAGGGATCCTCATGTACTCGATGAATGCGATATTTCACCTGAAGTTAGGGAAGCTCTGCTGGAAGATATTAGGAAAAAACTTACTCCTCAAGCAGTGAAGGTAATGGACTTTTTGTGAATCTTTCTCTATTTTGTTCATATATGATCTTGCCCAACGTACATTCAAATGCGCTGATTCCATTATGACTGCAAGCATTTGCTCGAAAAGCAGAAAGACGTTGAAAGTTTAACCCAGTAGAGCGTATTGAAATTTTAATCATATGAAAGCATTCATCAATATACGAGCACAAGCTGATTAAATGGCATGTCTTTGAAGCATTCATCGCCGGGAAGTTGAACTGTTTTAAAGGCGATTTCTACTTAAATGGTTATTTTCAACACTATTCTTCATGTATGGAAACGTAGTCAACTATGAATTTGGTACCTTTCGTTTTCTTCTTTGGAGGACGGGGTGAAGAAAAGTAACTAATGAAAAATTTCTTTGAAAATGGTTAATTTTCGCAGATTCGTGCAGACATTGAAGTCTCATGCTTTTCCTATGAAGGTATAGATGCAATCAAAACCGCATTAATAGCTGGGAAAAACTGTTCTACGTCTGCGATGCCAATCAAGGTCTGTTGAATTCATTTATTTCAATGGAAATTGTACCGAACGAAATGTGAGTACATTGGGCTACTAAGAGTGTGTTTTCTACCTGTATCACATTAATGCACTGCAGCATTCTTAGTGGTGCTGTTGGTTTGAGTACTTTGGCTCCACTATCACCAAGACTGATACGAGACTGTAAAAGTATGCACTAGAAGTACTATATTGTTTTGAGTAATTGTTTTTCCTATTTCAGACCTATTTAGCTTTTAGATATAGTTTCGCTCCTTTGCGTTCATATGAAATGTCCCTCTCAGTGCACTAGTTTTTTTACATCATAGTTTCTTTTTTTATATAAATTTCTCTTCAGTTTAGAGTATGGAGGTTAGGGAGAAGTGAGCAAACTGAAAGAATTTTTTATCCGAGGTTAAACTAGGACATAAAGCTGCGGATATTATTCCAATATCAGGGTTTCATTTAGCATGGAACTCTCACTCGGTGCAACTTTCCTGTTATGAGATCGACTCCTCTCTTTTCTTTTGCAAGAAAACGTTCCATTTCATGGTAGAATTTCGAGATTCGAGAGCGGGTTCAGTACGACAACCGATGATGTTGTACGAAAAATTGGACAAATATGAAGTTCCAGAGTACTTGTCGAAACCACATTCTAGCCAAAGGAGATTGTGTTTTCTTTTGCGCTTAACCTAGGGAATCTCTTACTAAGACTTCAGTGGTTGCGAAATCATTGCACGAAAGAAATACTGTTTAGGAATTGGGAAAGTGCAAGGTATATAAAGGCTGTAACGTTTGCTATTAGCAAAGTGTGGGCGACAGGCTTCGACTCACCATTCCCTCTCATCGCTAACAGAGCTCCGTTTTCACCATCTTTACAATCACTTGCTAAGAAGCTGTTCAGCAGCCTGATGCGTTTACAAAATTTGTAGGTACCAAACTCTAGAGTTTTGTTATGATTGAACGGATGAACAGTTCCCAGGATCGACTTTCTCTTAACCTCGGCATTGGAATATGAATGTGTCGTTTTCTTGTTCAGTAATCGCGAGGTTTTTAAACAGCATACATTTACTTCCATAAAAAACAATACAATACAACGCTAGCTGAACGGATGAACTTTTTCCTATGGGGAAGTATGTTGGCTCGAGTAGGTCCTAATTAGATTATTAAAGGCTTACATGAGTTGGTGATATTCGAAGTTGCCGTTAAAAACGCACGTAACACTTTACGGAGTCTTTATTCCTGTTGTTTTATATGTCTGATTGGATTGGTTGAGCTGTTGAACCTTTTCTTTTTCCGATGTTTAGATCAACCTCATCGCAGCTCCTCACTTCGTCGTTACTACGCAGACACTTGATAGAGAACATGGGCTTACCGCCGTTAATGCAGCTCTCAACGTTGTGAAAGAAACCATAGAAAAATATGGTGGAAAGTTTTCCATTAAAGAGGAAGTAAGGCCTGCAGCTTCAGCGATAGCACACAGCATCATCATTATTCCATATATCCTATAACGACTTTAGGCAAGAGTCGTTACCGATGTGGATGACAACGATATCAAAAAGAAACTGGAATTGGCCGAAATCGAAGAAGAAGGTTCTGAGGAGGAAGATGAAGACGAGACTGAGGATGAAGACGATGTAAGTAAATAGCTTTGCCAATTGGAGCGTGAATAGTCATTTCTCACTTCTAACCTTTCACAAGTTTTTAGGATGGACTGGTTGCACCTAAAGGCTTGGATCAACAAATGGACGCCGAAGAGGCAAGTCGTGAAGCGAGGAAGAGAGAGCAAAAGACGGAAAAAGAAGAAGAAAAAAGGAATGGTCAAGGAGATAGTACTGATGAGAGCGACTGAGGTCATTCACATGCTGTTGTTATTGCAATCTCAGTTGTTTTCCACACCTAAAGTATCGCTGTTGTTCCTGCTTTCCCATTGATGTCGGTCGACATTTTGATGGAAGAGTACATGAATCTTATATCCTGTATTCAAATAACATTTGAGATACTAAGGAAATGGGTATCATAACTATCTTAACTCTCAACCGATATACCGGTTGCTGTTAAAAAAAACCGTGACTGTTGAGAAGACTTAAACATTCTAGAAACTGGGAAGTGCTCCCTTCTTAGATACTGGCTTGTTCAGTCAGTGCCACTAAGCCTACTCGTCTTCATTGTCTCTGGTCTTTTAAAATTTATTTCGTTTTAAGCTTCTCTTGATGACGTATGGTATAAAGTTGAAACGGTGATTATGCTCGTTAGACGTTTCTCCACAGTCGGTTTCTGAGTTTAGAACTCTTTCCATTATTACTTGTGCTGGAATAGTTATAGTTAGTCGTGGAATGCTAATGGGATGCCCATCATCGACTATAATCAAGATAAAGTCATCTCTTATGAAATGCTGAGATATTTGCAAAACTCTGGACCACAGGTGTATGCAGTGGGGAACGAACACGCGCTGTTGTCTTTACTGGGGAGCAGCGCACTTCACCACCACACCATCCGAGTCCTTCGTTTTGCCTGTCTCTTAGCTAGTTCTATCGATCTTTTTGCCATCAGCAATCACCCGTCAACGGGATTGATCTGGGGAGCCCAAATCGGTATTGAACCCAGTTAAGCTGAGGCTTAGTTATAATCACAATCTTAACCCTTTTATTTACTGCCTTTTTTCTTCTTAATGGCAGGGTATGTTGCGAAATATAACTCGTATGAAATGCTGAGATATTTGCAAACTAGAAAAGGATAAAGGATAAAGCTCTTGGCGTTGTTCAATCCCTGAGGGATGCGCCATGTACTCGACTTCATTAAGTAACCTTAGAGGTGATTGAATTCACAGCTAGCCTTTACGATGACTCGCGGTGGCCTACCGATGTATCGAGCCAGTGCTGCTATCCTCCCAGACAAGTCTGGTACCAATTTACCGACGCTGGAGAAATGGAAGGCTTGGTGAGCCATGGGCGCGGAGATCAATTCCACGTGTGTATCGCAGTGGCGCCTCCAGCCACTACGCCACACGTACGCTGGGCGTAAACTAGTGTTGACAAATTCGCTTTTCATTTATTTTGCTTACTCATAGAGAGTGTGCCAGTAGTATTTCCCTCCTATTGGATTATGTTTATTCGAGAAGCGATGAGAAAATACTTCATGGTACATTCTCAATCCTTTACTCTTTTATCTTTACCGCTTCTTTGTCTGAGTGTGGGCAGTTGGGCCATCACATAGTATGGACGGGGTTTAGTGAAGGCGATACTGAAACGTCTCATTTTGTTGTTAAGTCGATGTGTACGATAGAGGATAAAGCGCTCGGCATTAAGCAATCCATTTTTCGAACGGCGGAAAATTACACTATAATTTCTTAATGGCAAAGAAATAATACTTGATACTTGAACGGCTCGTCATCACTAGTTGTGCGGGCCCCAGCATAATCACCATTTTTCGGAGGTTTGCTGGTCAAGCCATTGTGGTTTCCTGGAATCCCGAGAACAGCCTGGCCAAAGTCTGTCCCAGGTTGTCAACACGACAAGCAGTCGCAGCCTTTGTGGATCAGAGGGAGATTTGCACCATGCAACTTTGATACCAGGACGGTGGCGGATCCTGGTATTGGTTTACTCTTACCTAGGCTTCCTGATGGAAACGCCGGACTTGTTCTCAGCTTGGGAGGCGGTAAACCGTTGGCAGGATCGTTAGTCATGTATAGGTAAAATAAATAAAGATTGTTTCCTCACCATACCATAACACCTGGCTTACGGTGAATACGGGTCGATGCTTCTGTATGTAGCTCTGTAGGATGGATCCGAAGCACTTATGAATACAATGTGGCGTATTTTCTTGGTGTATCTTCTTGGTCTGCGGCTGATGACGGTTCATGCTAATAGCTGCACCAGGATTTCATTATGAGGAATGTTGAGGTGGAAAAGTGCACGCCTGTTTCGGATGTTCACTCTTCGGACATTCTGTACTTATGAAGTTCATCATGGTGATTGAGGCATCTACAGCTGTAACAAGGTTAAAGTAGAGAATTTTTGTCAAATTCTTCATAAAAATAATAGACGAAATGACTCTTATTTTGTAAAAGGTGAAAGCGTTCGACGTTGATCAACTAACTCTTTAGGGATGCGCTACGTATTCCCTTTGATTAGGCATCGTTAGAGGTGATTGAGGGCTTATAGAACGACTTACGGTATCCTGCCTGTGTATCAAATCAGTGTTGATATACTCGTAAGCAAGTCTGGTACCATTAATCTGGTCTAGTACAATTGCCTATCCCGGAGAGATGGAAAGTTTGGTGAACTCAGAGTGGGAGATCGAACTAATGACCAGTTGTGCATCACAGGACATCTGTAAACCACTGCGCTATACGCACTCCCATCTCATTTGAAATACGCGATAGTTATTAAGGGGGTTTTGGTCCTTGAACGATCAAATTACCGCAGGAATTGCTGATTGTGCAGAAATTGTTGTCATTCTGGAAGAATCCTCTTGACAAGAGAAAGCCTCCATACGATCCACGCGCGCTGGCGATTACCCATAGTGAAAAATTTGACATGACAGTGATGAGAATGGCCTCCATCCGATCCACATATGCTGGCGACTGTCTCTAATGAAGAATTTGATATGACAATGATGAGAAAAGTCTCTATCCAATCCACACATGCTGGCGGCTGCCCCTAGTGAGGACTTTGATATGACAGTGATGAGAAAAAGTGGCAGAAAACAAGCCTCCATTTGAACCAAAAACGGTCAAGGACTTTGTGGGGCGAACATTTGAATACATTTGAGTACATCATATATAGATTGCATGGACTATCACGCTCGATCATCACTCATCATGATAGTGTGGATAGAATTCCAGTGATTCTCAACCTGCAACTAAATCCATACACTAACATGTGGGTGACGGCAATATGACAAGAAAATAAAAGTGCTGAGGCTTGTAGGTTATCCGAGGCTGTGTCATCCAACATTTTAAGCATCTGAGCAATGAATAGGAGAACCCGCACTGGTTTAACTTATCGTTCTTCTTTTTACTGTTCTGATCTGGGAAGGTTGCATCTCGAAGTTTATAGTGTCGCCGATAATGAATGTTTTTGCCATCAAAAATTACAATTGTTCTTACGCAGACTTATAAGTATCTGATTGAAACGAATTTTTTTTTCTTGTTTTTTTTCGAACCAACTCATTCCTTTATAGACGATTATTTATATTTCAAAATTGGGCTTTGCACTTCCATCCTAGAGGCTTGTAGCAACCAGAGAACTTGACGGGATGCTATGCGCTCACTTTTGGAACATATCACAACATATCCACTATCCAACTCATTATCATGATATCTGATAGTAAGAATCTTCAATCAACTGAGTTTTGAGTGGATGTTTGCGCTTATTTTATTCCCCTCAGAGCATTTACTTTCTTACGAAATTTACATCAGCGTCAACGATTTGATGCGTTATTGTAATGCTTTAGTGTTACGGGGAACTCAGACTACATCCATATAAGGGGTGTAAAAGTTTTACGTTCTTTGATTCTAACTCCTTGTTTTAAAACATTGGGTGCGCCCAGCGCAGTGGTTAGGGCTATCTTACGGCTTACATTATCGTTTGTTCGATCCTATGTTCGGACTAATTCTGGGTATCGACCTATGATCTATAATCATTCTGAGTCCATTGTTCCAGCATGGTCACACAAACTAGTAAAGGATTCCATATTCTTGTCAGTAAGCTATCCTCAATGTGCCGCTGTGCCAACGCAGAGCACACTGGTAGTTGAGGGCCGTCTTGTTCTGTGAAACGATAAAGAACAACAACCATTTACACCGTCCTAGAACAACATTCAGATTTACGGAATATGAAGCCTTTTTTACCTGGCTCGACACAGCAGATATCCTGCTGATCCTTACAGTTCTTGCATTCAATTCGTTTCCTTGCGTCCACATTCCAACCATATTCGATGTAGCTATTCGAATTTTTGTGTATAGGTTCTCCTGTCGCTAGAAGATTCCTTTGGTTTTCCAGATGTCGTTCAATTCCGATCAAGTAGGTTTTATAAAGAATCCGAGGATTGCAGTGTCAGGGTTTATCTCTATTTAGGACAGTCTCCAGTTCTTGCTGATTGGAGGGAGCACGTTGACTATAAGCAAGTCTGGCACCACCTTTCCGATCTCTCAGGTAGAGCAGCTTGATTGGCTAAGGGCCAGATCGAACCAGAGCCTTTTGCGTATTGAACGGCTTCTTTGCCACTATGTTACCCGCGCCACTGAAGAAAACTTATCTTTGTCAAGAATTAAAGTCTCGAAGAAGAAAAAGAGAAAACGAAGAACTTTTCGTTTAAACGTCCATGTCATTGCTGAATAAGAGAGAAGGCGACGCCACACTTCACGATTCACGATCACGATTCGGTACAATTTTCACCTAGCAGGAGATTGATCAAACTAACAAACTGCATACCGACTATAGGCAAATGCCATTCGTTCCGAGTTGTTTCATTAAAAAAAAGTGCACACTTTGAATCAGGATCGCCATAGTGACTGACGTAAGATGGCCATGGCCATTGATGGTATGGTTTGATCCCAGCCAGCGATCTATTGAGCTGTAAGTGCCTTACGTCAGTTAATCGTGTTCTCATGAATGGCTGCCGAAGACTGGTCTTACTTGAAATGCAGTTACGGAGGAGAACAATTCTCTTTGATTTTGGACTGCAAAGGAATGTGACACCGAAATGTCGATTCATTAAAAAAAAACATATCAGCAATCCTGCTTATGGTTCTCACTACGCACTTGGTGGCACGTAATGCTATGGATTTCGTGAAATTCAGATTATTGCTAAAACTATCAATAAAAGTAAAGAGGTTTCAACTCTTGT